TATTCCATCAACTTGCCCATCACATAAAATATTTTGAAGCCATGTACAGGCATTGAAAACATGTTAAGCTCAAAATAATCTAGTACGAGTAAGGAGGAGAAAATTACATTTGTGTTTACACTGTGTACACTTCAATGCATCGGGTGGTTGCAAAGCCTCTTTATCATCAACCAAATCACCACAATTCTAACACGTGCATTGTGAGCAATACTAATTGCCTTCAGGGAGCTTCTGAAGGAAACAAAATTGGAAAAATTCAATTACAATATCCAAGGCAACATTAAACTCCACAACAAAAACAGCAACAACAAAATCCCAAATAAAGCATAGAAAATGTATTAAACACATGGTATAAGTGGATGAAACTGTAGGACTACCACGCTGAATTTTATTAAAAGCATCATAAATGCATATCTTTGCCATGCCATACAAGGAAATGCAAGAGAGTGAGGGGAGTGTGCTTCTCAAAATGGGCAAATGCATAGATCCGAAACAAAGAAATATTCAGGAGAACAATGATAATTTGATTCCCTTCCTCCCAAAAACATCCATGGTTGTTGAAATCAGGATTCCCCACAGGATTGGTGAGAGGGTGTCATGGATCAGATCGAGAATCGTAAGATTCTATTTTCTATTAAAAATAAGGAAAAACCACAACAAGGATGATCCTTATTAAAAATAAGGAGAAAAATCACAAACCCAACGATCCAGCCATAACAACGATTCTATAATGATTTGGATCATTTTGGCAATTTAGGGATCTTACAATCCGGATTGCAATTTTGATAACCATGGAAACACCATACGAGTAATTCTGGACCAATCAATTCAATGCAGAATGCAAGAACAACATGTGCTTATGAAACAAAGGATATATAAACGACACTATTGAACGAGCGAACGAAAAATTATAGCCCTAGACATACACAAGAATATTTGAGTTTTTCAAATCAAATAAATCTCAAACTATTAAGAGCATAAGAACTTTGTTCTGCAAAATACACTGTAACTATACAAAAACTCAAATAAAATGAATGTGAAAGTCTTGAAGCACAAAACCAAAGATTAACTTACCTCATAGTCTAGTAAATCACTTATCCGATTTTGAGAAGACATGAACATCTCCATATGTTCATCATCTTCATCGTCTTCTATGACCAAATCATCCATCATAGACATCACACTTGGTGGCATGTCTTTGGCCGCTCCTTTTTATAAGTGTGAATATATTCCTTCAACTTGTCAGGCAACGATGTGGGATGGCTATACACAACACACAAAACTTGCTACCAAACAACATCGTCTTCTCACCTCCGCTTTGAAGTCTCCAGTCCCACATCGCTAAAGCAACTAATATCAAGCCCCTCAGACCTTATAAAACAAACTTGCTACCAATTGACGTCATCTTCTCACCTCCACTTTGAAGTCTCCAGTCCCACATCACTACAGCAACTAACATCAAGCCCCTCAGCCCTTATAAAACAAACTTGCTACCAAGCGATGTCGTCTTCTCAACTCTGCTTTGAAGTCTCCAGTCCCACATCGCTAAAGTAACTAACTTCAAGCCCCTCAGGCCTTATAAAACTGGTGATCTAACAAAAAAAAACAAATATCTAACCAGCCTTATAATAATATATATATATATATTATACATACTATTATTTTTATTATTATATATTATCATATGTTAGAAAGAAAGTAAAAAAATTGTTGCAATTATGTGGGGGGTATTTTTTAGTTAGATTAGGACTATATATAGGCATTTCTAGGGCAACAAAATAGAACTCCCATATTGTATTGAAATTACTACATTGCCCATTGATTTTTTCCCTTTTTTCTTCTTTTTCTTTTTTCATCTAATGTGTCTAACACTAACACAACACAACACTACAACCATATAAAAACTCAGATTAAATGAATGTAAAAGTCTTGAAGCACAAGACTAAAGATTAACTTATTTCACAAAAGAAACATTCCATCAAACCTCATAGTCTGATAAATCGCTTATATGATTTTTAGAAGACATGAACATCTCCATATCCTCATTGTCTTCTATGACCAAATCATCCATCATAGGTGGAACTAAGACTACTATGTGGGAGGAATAGTCGCCTTATGAGTTAAGTTGGGATTATATATAGGTATTTTAGGGAAACAAAATTGAACTCGCATATTCTATTGAAATCACTACATTGCTCATTGATTTTTTTACCTTTTTTTCGTTCTCTTTCTCTTTTCATCTAAGAATGGATACTTTTAAAAAGGTAAACGTGTTGTGTCCTTCACCACACTACACTCGTCGGACACTTCCTAACACTTCAACACACGCGAAATACATTAAAATTTTAAATAAACTAACTTGGAATAAAATTATATTTATTCTCCTCCTTTAGACTTTAAAAGTTACTATATGTGTCTTAAATATCCATATATATGATATATAATAATTATTCATCCTTATAGAAGATATAAAATAAATATATAAAATTATATATTTTGCACGTGTCTCCCACGTGTTATGTCTTACATTTTCTGGGAATTTTTCAATCAGCGTGGTAGTTTCGTGTCAAGTATATGTGTTTGTGCTTCTTAGCTTTTTATTTTTTATTTCGGTTGACTTGTAAAAAAACTTTGCGAGGATCAATATGCATAGTAACAGACCATGATTCCTCTTTCTAGTTACATTAATTAGTTCTTCTCCTATGTTTAAGAAGTGAAAGGATCTCCGCCACTATTTCATAGACAAATGGGAGCATAGATACCATAAATATTCCTTTGGTTAGTATCCTATTTTGCAAGAGAGTGATTGACAGGATTTGGTTTTATCACAAAATGGAGACACTAACGCACCAAATCCTTCAAAAATTGGGTGTAAACAACCTGAGGATATAATTTGATAAATATAGTTATATAATTTTTATCTTGTCATCAAGCCACATCAGAGTAACACTAATACATCATGGTTTGAAACCAAGAGCACATCAACATTTTTCAATATCGCATTGACCCAAAACACAAAAACACTTAATTGAAGAAAGACTATACCCTTTGAAGTCCTTGCTGATCTGATGGCATCCAAGTCCGCCGCAACGATCGCCACCGTGCCACCAATGCAAACCCAGTTTGAATTCCAATGAAACCCACAACATTGTGCCTCTTCTGATCCCCATTGGGCACCCCACCATCTTCATTTCCACCTTAGGCTTACCATTTCTACATTTATATCCCCAAACTTTGCCTCGAAACAGTGACGAAGACGAAGACAAAACCAGTGAGTCCGATCACGAAACAGAGAATCATGATTCAAAAAAAAAAACCTAGAAAGAAGGTTTGTGGTTATGAGATTAGGGTATGGAATGGAATGGAAAATTACTTGGGTGATTGCGATGAAAGGCATTCGTGGCATATTGAGAGAGAAACAATCGATATTCAATAGATCAGAGAGAGAAGCAATCAATGTTCTAACGATCACAAGGTGATTTGAAGTTTCAAGCTAAGCTTTCGTTTTCTAGTAGTTATTATTGTTAACTTCTTTATAAGTTGGAGAATTCTATCCTACAGCCACACGCCCTTACCACCACATGCACTCTTAGGCCTAGTTGGGCAACAAATTATTTTGAGAGACTTATTTATAAGTCCTATTTTGGACACTTATGCTATGTTAAGTCCTTTATAATTTCTTATAGAGTTTCAAGTCCTATTTAGATAAGAATGTATTTCACAAGATCCTATTTGCGAAACGTAACGTGACATGTTACGTTACGTTTATGTAGGTGTCACGTTACGTTATGTTTATATAGGTGTCATGTCATGTTACGTTTATATAATGTCCCATCTGATATGGTCACGTTACGTTACATTTATGTAAGTATCACGCTACGTTTTGCAACCTTAATATATGGTAACATTCAATTTCCTATATAAGAAATTGAATGTTACCATAGATCATATCTATAGGAATGTGAATTTCAAAATACACAAATAAGTAACATTTTCACATTCAATTTAAAAAATTAAAAACTTAGTAAGTTTGCGAAACGTAACGTGACACGTTACGTTATGTTTATGTAGGTGTCACGTTACGTTTATGTAATGTCCCATCTGATATGGTCACGTTACGTTATATTTATGTAGCTGTCATGTTACGTTTCGCAAACTTAATCTATGGTAACATTTAATTTCATATATATGGTTTTACCATTATTTATGATATTAACAACTAATATTGAGGGTAAATGTGTCAACAAACTTCACACGGGACTTATGAGAACATAAGTTTTTTCGTAGGACCATATGTAGCATATGTCTCCCTAATAGGACTTATAAATAATTTTCTCAATTATTTTAGTGATTTTTAATTTTTTATAAAAAAAAATGTTTAAAAAGTAAAGAAAGTTATGTAATAATTTATAATAATTTTTTAAATTTTTGACTAAAATATATAATCCCCAAATGAGGCCTTATTTACGTCTTATATGTCAAATTTTTTTCTGTACTTATGAAGAATTTTTTTTAATTATCATATTATTTTGGTTATAACTCATCAATTTTTTAATTATGTTTCATACTATATTTAATTATAATATTTTTTAATTATGACTTAAAAAATATGAAATTATATATATATATATATATATCTAGAGTTTATTTGGCATGATCTATGTTAGTACATTTTTTTTTTAATCTTTTTTTGAGTCGTACATCTTTTTATTTATTTTTTACATATTTTTTTATAAAAAATTAAAAAATATACTTATTTACAATATTTCAAACAACTCCTTAATTATAAGATATATATGATATACATTTTTGAAGAGTGTGTGTTATAATATTTTTCAATAATTTATCATTTTTACTAAATAATTTTATTAATTACATTCTTACAAATGGATTTCATAACAAATTTTTCCAAAAAAAATACTATTTTATTGTGTCCGACGTCGTTTTCAGGAGAACTCAATGGTAAAGCGTTCCACAAAACATCAAATTCCAGATTCAGTTGACGACGTGTCACCAATCGGAACAAGTTACATGGAGGGAGGAGAGAGAGAGAGAGAGACACTCTAAGCTGTATGTATAACGACCCTCATTGCCATTCTTGCAATACACCCCGAATTTCAGATTCTTTGTTCGATTCTCAATCCAAAATCTGGATTTTGGTCTAGAAATCACTAGCATGTACGACCGTTTTTTCGTTTCTGAATCCAATCGCTCCATTCTTTGTGGTCACCATTTGAAGCTCAACGACCTCCGAATTTCCTCCCACAATGGCTCCGTTTCGGTAAATCTCCCAATGTAGGTAATCAAAACCAGAATTATCGTGGTTCGCATATTCATATTTGGAATTACAATCGGTTCTTGAAGCTTATGTGTCCGAAATTGAAGAGATTTTTTGTGGTTTTCAGATTGGCATATGAATGTCTAGGGTTCGTGTGAATCTGAAGAGGAGTGGTTTCGAGCTGTTTCAGAGCTCCACATTGGTTCTCGGAGTGTAGGATTTCGTGGGATTTTTGAATTTTAGGGATTTCTATGTGTATGTGGAGTTGATGAGCTGGTAATTTGATTTTGTTTTTGGTAATAATAATGGGATAGATAAGGAAAAGATTGCTCAAGTTCAGAAGCCCGCGCCGTGGGTGGAGTTCTGGAGTGATTTGTTTATGGGGCAGTACATTGTTTTGTTCAAATGGGTTTTGGTTCTACATCTGGGCTTCACATGATATTGCAACTTGAATGGCTGATTCTCAGAGGGGTGGTCTGGCTGAAAGAGACGTCGACCAGGCAAGTCTGCTTATTTTTGTTTATATATGTGTATGTGTACATGTATGTATTCTATGCATGAATTCCATGCCTTCTATGTGGAATTGGAGGCCAGTCTAATGAAGGTGGTCTATGATACCAATTCCAAAGAGTCGATTCCGTGTAGTCAAATTCACTATTAGGGTTCGTTTGGATAGTTGTCGATTTCAAATCAATAGATTTGAGATTAAATGGATAGAAAAACAATGGAACATGATAAGTTGAGATAGATAGAACATATATACACTTTTGTAGGATCCTTATAGCTAGAAATAGAATCTTCAGTATAATTTCAAATGACTAGTTTTAACTAAGTTTTTCAAATCCATCATGATAAAGTTATTTTACTCAATCTTGGAATTCATAAATAAACTATCATATCTGAATTTGAGTTATTATCGTTGAATGATTAAGATCAAATCCCTTGATTTGAAATCCAAATGGGCCCTTATAGTAATTTTGTTTTAGTAGGCAGTGTTGTTCTTTATGAAATATGAATACTCAAGAGTCATGACGAACTTTGTTGAAGCTCATACTTGAGATATCAACTAATGATACATTCGTTCATGGTAAGCAGGGACGGATCCATTCATAGACAATGGGTTGCCATGGCCCCATGCTGATCAAAACTCACTTTTATTACTATGCTCAAAATATGACATGTTTTGCAAATATATGTATGGTGTGGCCCCCTAGCCATTACAGAGCACATCCATCTTCTTTTTTTATTGTCTAAACATCAACACTAACCAAGTTTAGGGACCCTCAAAGTTTCTGCAAGGAAAGATGTATATTTTTTCACTTTTATATATTGTATACATATTTTATGTATTATTGTAAAATAGTCCAACCAAAACTCACGGTTTGTGTAATGACAAACATATTTTTGTTTAATTACAATGGTATTTCAAAATTAGTGAGTGACTAGATTTAAGATTTTTCATTTCTTAAATTTTACTTGCTTATATTTTCAATAATAAGAATAATAATGCTACATTTATCATATTTTTATATCATATTATGCTTACCATTTTATTTGTTAACACAATATTAGTATAATTGATCAAACCACTAATGTATATCTCTTATTGCAATATTGATAAATAGATTGACACATCAGATGGTTAGATAAAATGGTAAAAATAGATGATCATGATAACATTACTTTAATAAGAAATCTAATGATTTAAATACTTATACGCTAAAAGTATGGTGTATCATATATTATACTTGGAGCATTGATAATCTCATCAGTTGTCCCCATTATTCACTGTATTGTATATGTATATATATTTAAAATTTGCAATGTTTGTCAATGCCTATAAATTTCATCATTGATAATATCATCAGTTGTCCCCATTATTCACTTCATTGTATATGTATATATATTTAAAATGTGCAATGTTTGTCAATGCCTATAAATTTCATCATTGTGCTCTTCTCCTTAGCTTCGTTCTTTGTGATTGTCATAGGTGTGTTTGGTATGGTTTTCGTCTTCCGTTTTCTATTCTTGGAAATAGAGCAAATGGAATCTGATAAATAAAATAAAAAAATAAAAACTTGTTTGGAAAAATGTTTCTAAAAATTGTCTGTGAACACCCCTTTTTATGAAACATTCTTAGAATTTTTTTTTTTTTTTTTTGAATTTTTGAAAACTTTTTCCACAAAAATGAAAACAACTTTTCTTATTATTGTACACTTTAACTTTACACCATGGATTCAAGTGTTGAATGACAAAGCACTATAATATTTGTACCACACTAACATTGGAATGAGAAATATGTACCCTACTATATTATCTTTGTCATTGCCCTATGCTCTTGTGCGGAAACATTAAACTCATATACTGCATTTTTCTTTTACTCTAATTTACAGGCCATTATAATGCTTAAGAAAGGGGCATATTTGCTTAAGTATGGGCGAAGAGGGAAGCCGAAGTTTTGCCCATTTCGACTTTCTTCTGTAAGTTTCCTTTGTGTCCATTCAAATGAGAAATTTCACATAAACTCTATCTCCTTGTGCATGTGTGTGTCTATACTCATTTTTTTGGGATATTTCCACAACTTACAAATTTTTCGCTTTGGCCACTTTTCTGATGATGAAAAAAACAAGTATGTTGAGAGTTTTGAGGTTGGTCTTTTCCTTTTTTATTTCAAAGGGGTTGTGGGCTATGGCTATGCGAGTGAGCTTGGCTCTACCACATATGTTACGAGCCATCCATCAAGTTCCTCATACTTTGACTCATTCACTTTGTTGCTTTAGCTTGCTAGAGCAACTACCACACTAGTGAGCTTAGTAGCCATACCTGGTGGTGCATATGTTTCCACTTAGGCTAGACCTATGAAGCATTGGTACTTTGACAAACATGTGTTATCCGTACCAGGTACTGGTACTTTGTATGGTACTTCTGCATACGTTTGGATACATGAAATACATACTTAAATTTTTCCTTCCTAATTTTTGTCATACCCTAGACGTACCTAGCATATACTTTGTAAGAGAAATTGATAGAGAGAGACACAGAGAGAATGAATTATGTATTGATTGATTGATTGTATTAATATCTATTACAATGATTCATGATTCCTATATATAGAAGAGGGTGAGTGTGTAGTAGGTGGTAGTGGTAGGTGTGTAGTAGGTGGATTTTAATAGCCCCCCGCAAACTCAAGGGGGATAGAAACTAACCAACTTGAGTTTGGAGAGAGTAACAAAACAAGAAAATACATAAAAATAAAAGAGGATAGGAGACACTGCATGGTCGTGTCAGACCATTGGTGAAGACACTGGATGGTGGTGTCATAACGTTGTAGAGGATACTGTATGGGGGTGTCATAACGTTGTAGAAGACACTGTATGGTGGTGTCATAACGGTGTAGAGGACACTGGATGGCGGTGTCAGACCGATGTAGAAGACAGTTTATGGGGTCATGTCGGACCGATGTAGAAGACAGTTTATGGGGTCATGTCGGACCGATGTAGAAGACAGTTTATGGGGTCATGTCGGACCGATGTAGAAGACAGTTTATGGGGTCATGTCGGACCGATGTAGAAGACAGTTTATGGGGTCATGTCGGACCGATGTAGAAGACAGTTTATGGGGTCATGTCGGACCGATGTAGAAGACAGTTTATGGGGTCATGTCGGACCGATGTAGAAGACAGTTTATGGGGTCATGTCGGACCGATGTAGAAGACAGTTTATGGGGTCATGTCGGACCGATGTAGAAGACAGTTTATGGGGTCATGTCGGACCGATGTAGAAGACAGTTTATGGGGTCATGTCGGACCGATGTAGAAGACAGTTTATGGGGTCATGTCGGACCGATGTAGAAGACAGTTTATGGGGTCATGTCGGACCGATGTAGAAGACAGTTTATGGGGTCATGTCGGACCGATGTAGAAGACAGTTTATGGGGTCATGTCGGACCGATGTAGAAGACAGTTTATGGGGTCATGTCGGACCGATGTAGAAGACAGTTTATGGGGTCATGTCGGACCGATGTAGAAGACAGTTTATGGGGTCATGTCGGACCGATGTAGAAGACAGTTTATGGGGTCATGTCGGACCGATGTAGAAGACAGTTTATGGGGTCATGTCGGACCGATGTAGAAGACAGTTTATGGGGTCATGTCGGACCGATGTAGAAGACAGTTTATGGGGTCATGTCGGACCGATGTAGAAGACAGTTTATGGGGTCATGTCGGACCGATGTAGAAGACAGTTTATGGGGTCATGTCGGACCGATGTAGAAGACAGTTTATGGGGTCATGTCGGACCGATGTAGAAGACAGTTTATGGGGTCATGTCGGACCGATGTAGAAGACAGTTTATGGGGTCATGTCGGACCGATGTAGAAGACAGTTTATGGGGTCATGTCGGACCGATGTAGAAGACAGTTTATGGGGTCATGTCGGACCGATGTAGAAGACAGTTTATGGGGTCATGTCGGACCGATGTAGAAGACAGTTTATGGGGTCATGTCGGACCGATGTAGAAGACAGTTTATGGGGTCATGTCGGACCGATGTAGAAGACAGTTTATGGGGTCATGTCGGACCGATGTAGAAGACAGTTTATGGGGTCATGTCGGACCGATGTAGAAGACAGTTTATGGGGTCATGTCGGACCGATGTAGAAGACAGTTTATGGGGTCATGTCGGACCGATGTAGAAGACAGTTTATGGGGTCATGTCGGACCGATGTAGAAGACAGTTTATGGGGTCATGTCGGACCGATGTAGAAGACAGTTTATGGGGTCATGTCGGACCGATGTAGAAGACAGTTTATGGGGTCATGTCGGACCGATGTAGAAGACAGTGTGGAAATATTAAAATAAAGGTGGGTGTTTGGTGTTTGGAGCTTTAACAGCCTGTGGATGGTTTAGAGAAGAGAAACCCACCCAACTTCTCTCTCTCGGGTTGGTTCTCCACACACAACACACAGCAGTTCATACACACACACACCACCAACTTCATCTTCTCACAGCACACACGGCTATCACACACCAGATACACAGCAGACACACATGCAAAAGATATTGCAGCAGAGGGCTTAGATTTGTTGCCAGATTTTGATGTGCAGATCCAGAATGGTCCAGAGATCTATCATGTAAGATGGGGTTTTTGAGGGTTTGATCATCGAATGAGATTTGGGTTACGGTCAGTTCGAGGGAGCTGGTGTGAGTGAAGCCGAACTCGTCCAAGGGGATGGTGGAGCGGCTGTCTGACCGGATCTCGGAGAATCAGATTTCGGCATTTGGGTTATGATGAGGAAGAAGAGGACACAGATGAGGGATCCAAGGGAAGCCATTGTTGCAAGCAGACAGATGATTCAACTCTCTCTTTCTCGCTCTTCGCTCTTAATTTGATTGAATGAGATGAGAGCCTAGCTAGGCTACCAACGACTGGAATTAACACAGCATTTGGGTGTGATCACCTTTGAGACTGTATATACAGAAGAGGGGTTGAGGTCCGGCGGGCGGCTAAGATGAGGCTGCCGCCCGCCGGTGAAACAAAATTATTAGATTCTTAACCTTGCTCTGATACCATGTAAGAGAAATTGATAGAGAGAGACACAGAGAGAATGAATTTTGTATTGATTGATTGATTGTATTAATATCTATTACAATGATTCATGATTCCTATATATAGAAGAGGGTGAGTGTGTAGTAGGTGAGGAGTAGGTGGAGAGTAGGTGAAGTAGGTGAGTGTGTAGTAGGTGGTAGTGGTAGGTGTGTAGTAGGTGGATTTTAACATACTTAAATCGTACCTCAGCTACAATAGTATTTTCTTCTATATATAGATGAAGTTTGGACTTCTTCTTTTTTACGCTTAGCATTATTTTAAATTTTAAACTTTGGACTGTAAGTTATTTAATATAATGATATTTAATTTTGGTTTATACCTTACTTTTGGTATTAAATTGTAAGTTGGATCTTAACCAAGTAAACCATTTAACTATTTTTGCATTACTCTAAATTTTAAAAAAATAAAAATAAAAATAAAATAAAATAAAATTTACTAACATACTGTACCCGTACCTTACTTTTTTTAGATTTTATCGTATTGACGTATCCGTATCGTACCACTAGTACCCGCACCCATACCCGTAGACATGCTTCATTGGGCTAGACACATAACCTCATTGTAGTGCTTCAGGGGTTTGCCATGTAGAGAGAGTGGTGGTGGTGGTGACCCACACAACCTATCAATCAAGTAATTTGTCTCTCTTCAGTTCAATGTAGTTTGGACTATTATTTTGATGATGAACAAGTGAAGCTGCCATTTCACTAAGAACCCCCATTTATTTTTCCCATTCAGAGAGGGAAAAGTATCCATGATTTAGTTTGATATTTAATCTAGACATACTGAGATTGAAGTTTGATCTGTCAATAATCAAAGCGACATGCCTCACATTATTATTTTTTGGTTTGAGTTGACCACGCCATAAATCCTCATTGTCTTAGCCATGTAATTGTACATCTAAAAAAATATTCTTCTTATTCTTCTTCTTCTTTTAAAAACAAAAAAAAAATAAATAAACAAAAAACAGAAGACAATCTCTCTTTTTGGTATTTCCATTTATTCAGGTTCTTTTGACTACATTCAGGATGAGTCTGCATTGCTATGGCACTTTGGCAAAAAAGAAAAACAGATTGAACTACGTCACGTTACAAGGATAATTCCCGGGCAGCGTACTGTAAGTTTGCTTGATTGGTGCTCATGCAAGCATAGGAGTGCAAGTTTTTCCATTGTATTCTATACTATTGTGTATATTGTTTTCTTTTGTGTGCGTGTGGAGATCAAAATGAATAAACTTGAAAAAAGCAGAAATCCTCCCCCCACCCTCCTGCACACACACACACAGAATGTTCACCACCCCCACACGATGATCTCCTGTTTTTGTAGTCCTACCACCTAGCACAGAGTTTGGCTATGAAGTATGGACATTGCATTTATGTAGCAGTAGTTGTGTCTAACACGTGTCCGACTTGGACCTGCCGCATGGCATGTCAATTATTTTAATTATTATTTTTTGCTGGACATGTTGGCGTGCATGTTTGAGGTTTTATTATAATTTTAGAAAGATAGTTTGGCGGTTAAAGGATAGTATTTGGAAACAAAATGGTGGAAATTGGAAAATAAAAATAAAATATTCCTCTAATATGTTCTATCTTTGATATCTTAATTAGTGCCCTAAAATTTATTTGAGGTAGAGGGCATTCTTGAAAAAAATCAGTTGTCCCTTTCATCTTGCTAGTGTTTCTATTATTTGCTTCCCGTTATGTTGGTCTTGTGGAATGTTTGGTGCAAACTTTTGGTAAATGTTTACACTATAGTATTGTTCTTAAACTAAGTAATGGGTATGAAATAGTATTTTGTATGTTAAATGATGTTTTTATTATAAATTGAATAGTTTCTCATGGTGAATTAGTGTTAGTTTTTTTTATTATTTTTGGTTGTTTGTGAATAAAATTAACAAATAAAAATATATAAAAAAAAAATATTTGTTTGCCATATCCCCACCATCATGTCCTTATCCTAATTTTTTGAAAATCTCGGTGTGCCGTGTCCAGGCTTCTTAGGAGTTTTGTGTTTTGTTAAAACCAAAATCCGCTATCTTTCTTAACCTTTTTCATCCAGAAACCCAATCATTTGCTGCATTTTTTTAATCCAATTGCTGCCCTACATCAGTATTATTTGGAAAAAGAGATGGAACATGATTAGTGCAGTAGTTCATTAGTTTTTGGATTGGTGTTTGTAGCATGGAGGCTTCTTAAAGAGCCTAGGCTTTGTTAAAACCTACCATAAGGCCTTCACAGGGATGCATGCGGATTGTTTGTAAGAGCATTTATCTTGGAGGTTTTTATTAACCCCACTATAAGTTCAGCTTTAATTTTTCATTCATATTGTTTGTTTTAAAAAAAAAATTCTCTCTAAATTTATTATAATTATGTTACAATTTCAAGTATTTGATTAAAATGATGGTGTTTTCCTATCAGGCAATATTCCAGCGTTATCCCCGGCCTGAGAAGGAATATCAATCATTCTCCCTCCTATACAATGACAGGTCCTTGGATCTGGTGAGTTTCTGTCTCATTTTTTTCATTTTCCTGGGCAACCACCGCCCTTCCTGCAGGTGTGTTGCGTGCATGGGGGATTGGGGGATGGCACAAATCTTGCTTCACTATCAATACCTAAAGAAACTGTTGCACACTACGAAATTTATTTCATTCTTTGTTTATTGGGCTTAGTACATAAATCAAACACATCATTATGATATGATACATAGAGTTGCATGATATCAAAATCCACAATTGTGTGCATTTTAGCTGCCTCATGACTGATGCATGGACAGATATGTAAGGATAAGGATGAAGCTGAGGTTTGGCTTGTTGGTCTAAAGGCATTGATTTCACGTGGTAGCCACAGCAACTTGAGAACTGAAGCAAGTAAAGAGACTATAGTACCTTACAATCGACTTGTTCGGAGAAATTCTGTTTTATTTTCCGTAAGGAGCAATATTTCTTCTGTAGTTCTTTTGAAATTATTGTTATCCATTTCGTATTTACTCGTGCTTTGCCTAATTGACTCAGGATCAAGGAGATGCTCAACTAGTTGAGGGTCTTCCCGGAAATAGTTTGGGAAAAGCATTCTCTGAATTAATTTCATATACTGCAGCAGCCAAAAATCTTGCTCAATCTGAACCAGTTACCAATTCTCTTACCTCATTGTCATCTGCAGCCGTAGATAATTCAAATGGTCGAAGTTCGGCAGCTGAAACTTTTCGAGTTAGTTTTTCTAGTATTGTAAGTTCATCAAGCCATGGTTCTGGTCATGAAGATTTTGATGTCTTAGGTGATGTTTTAATTTGGGGAGAAGGCATTGGTGATGGGGTGTTGGGTGGCGGTGTGCATAGGTGTGGTGGTTCATCTAGTACCAAGATGAATGCTCATTTGCCTAAAGCATTGGTGTCAACAGTGGTACTTGATATTCATAATGTTGCTTGTGGTGGTAGGCATGCTGTTTTAGTCACGAAACAAGGGGAGATATTTAGTTGGGGGGAGGGGGAGGGGGGCAGGCTTGGCCATGGAGTAGAAGAGGATGTTTCACACCCAAAGCTCATTGATGCTCTTAGCAGCATGAACATTGTGCTAGTGGCATGTGGCGAGAATCACACCTGTGCTGTTACATTTTCCGGGGATCTTTATACATGGGGTGATGGTAGTCACAATTCTGGTTTGCTTGGGCATGGAAGTAACGTCAGTCACTGGATTCCTAAAAAATTGAGTGTTTTCATGGAGGGTATACAAGTGTCGTTTATCTCTTGTGGACCTTGGCATACAGCTCTTGTAACATCTGCAGGCCAGTTGTTCACATTTGGAGATGGAACTTTTGGTGCCTTAGGCCATGGAGACCGTGGTTGCACTTGTGTTCCAACAGAAGTGGAATCTTTGAAAGGATTGCGGACGTTGAGGGTTGCTTGTGGAGTCTGGCATACTGCTGCAGTTGTTGAAGTAGAGACTGAAACTTCTAGTTCTGGACCTTTTGAGAGCTCTTCATCTGGAATGCTATTTACCTGGGGGGATGGGGATAAAGGCAGACTTGGACATGGTGATAAAGAACCCAGGCTAGTTCCTGTGCTTGTAGCTGCGTTGGTTGATGTAAGCTTCTGTCAGGTAGCCTGTGGGCATAACCTAACAATTGCTCTAACAACCACAGGACGAGTCTATACAATGGGGAGCACAGATTATGGACAGTTAGGGAACCCTTTAGCTGATGGAAAGATTCCCACTTGCGTTGAAGGTAAAATTGCTGACAGCTTTGTAGAAGAAATTGCCTGTGGTTCCTATCATGTTGCAGTTTTGACTTCTAAAACAGAGGTTTACACTTGGGGGAAAGGTGCAAATGGGCAATTAGGCCATGGAGACAGTGATAATCGAAATACACCTACACTTGTTGATTTTTTCAAAGATAAGCAAGTAAAGCGTGTAGTCTGTGGTGTAAATTTTACTGCTGTTACATGTCTTTATAGATTGGGTTCCAATGCTGACACTTCTGTGTGTTCTGGTTGTCGTAATCCATTTAATTTCAGAAGAAAGCGACATAATTGTTACAACTGTGGCCTTGCCTTCTGCAAAGCATGCAGTATTAGGAAAGCACTGAGAGCCTCTTTGGCTCCAAGTATGAACAAACCATATCGTGTCTGTGATGATTGTTTCATCAAGCTAAAGAATATTGCAGAATCTGGATCTGTTACTTGGATGCCCAAAACCAAAAGTGAAAGTTCAATTAGTAAGGCCAATGAGATGTCAGAAGAAGATATTTGGGGTTCTCGATTACAAGGACAATTTATCAGACTCTCGTCTTTTGACTCAGTCAATCAAGCCGAAGGCAGAAATTCAAATGATACCCATGTATTCCCTCTTGTGGCTGGAAATACACAGTGGGGAATCATTTTTCCTTCTAAATCATCAAATGCTCTACTTGAAGCTTCAAAGAATGTTTTTTCAGCTTATGTTCCTAGTTTTAGAATGGCTTCTCAGGCAACATCTCCTGTTTCAACAACACCAACCTCATCACGGTCTCTTTATACATCTGAAGTGATTCTTGGTGATTCAAAGCATAAAAATGATAGTCCAAGCCAAGAGGTCATAAATTTGAGGGCACAGGTAAGCATGTGTGAAGATAAAGAGCTAATTATATTTAATTCCTACAGTTCCATTCATGCTTAAATCTCCACTTCCTTTTTTTTTTTTTTAATTATTATGTTTATTGATGGGCACTCCTAAGCAACAAGATTGATATGGTTTCTACAATGCTTCCCCCACTAAAGATTTCACGCCTTCATTTTGTCTGTTTTAGGAGCATGCCTTTTTTCCGCTTTGCAAAAAGAAACTCAGTGAGGGTTGGGAGGTATAGGTATGGGAATATGTTGATAATTAAGCTCTTAAAGAATTTTCTAAAGTCTGTATTGGCTTCGTTGGAGCTCTTGCATTTCACATGAAGCACCAGGAAATCTTCAACCAATTCAGTAGCATGCTTATTTATGGATCTCAGTCCTGCCTTAATAACCTCCTCATATTGTACTCTTACTGTTCTGGAACTACCCTTACGCTGTGTTTGGTTAGGGGATTTGGAGACGGATTTGGAAAGGGAAAGGGAAAGGGAAAAAATGTGTGAAACTAGGTGAAATATAGGTATGTTTTATTCACATTTCACATACCTTTTCCATTTGTTTTATTCACATTTTACCTACCTTTTCCATTTCCTTTTCCAAATCCTTCCTCAAATCCCTCAACCAAACACAGCATTAGACCTACTGAATACCAAGATTTTCCCATATGATTAGTTGAAACCTTGTTGAGCGACCAAACAGAATAATTTAACACCAGAATCTTCAATATTTAAAACTTCCATGACATTACCAAATCTTAGCTCGTCATCTTTTCTACTTTGTTTGTCTCTACTTTTTCTTGTCTTTTATTGATTTAAAGTAATAGAAAGAAAGTAATTCTGCCGCCTCGCCAACCTTAACCTGTTTCAAGCTTTCATTTTTTCAATCTCTTTTATTAGCTTATCTCAAGAAGTAGGGGCTTTGCATTATATTCGGGGTTGGATCTTGCTGGATGTTTGACATTGTCAGTGAAATATGAGGAAGGTTTAGGCCCTCGCGCCCTCAAAATTTATATTTTTCACCATATGCAATTTGTGTAATTTTTGGGCGATCCTGTGAGGGAGTTGCTCGTATTTGGTCAAACTCTCAGATGGTTCTGTAAAATGGCCTTGCGGATCCTTCCACAGAATTAGGAGTTGGTTTATAGTCAATCCTTATTTTTGCAAGGGTTACATGCTCATGAATAAAGTTGAGTAGTTATACATGGATGTTATAATGTACAACATGCATGCCATGAACTATATACACTACTAATGCTGTATGGACATATACGTTTAGTGTAGTTATCACCTCTCTTCAATAGTGTAGTTATCACCTCTCTTCAAACTGAAACCAGATCATATAAACATGAGTTTGTCAACTGGAAAATAGTGCAAAAGCCGGCACTAAGGCAAGATCGCTAAGGCGGTTGCCTCAGGGCCAGCAATTAATTTTAGCTCTTATAGCATTAGTAAGTTGAAAAAAAGGATCCAATCCAACTAATCTAAGTTCACAATCTAAACTACACGGCCCTTATAGATTATGTAATTAGTAATTTTGCATTTAAAAATGCAACAAAAGTAATATTTAACTGATATTTTGTTGCAGTTGGTTTGATTTTTATTTGGTGTTATAACTTTAGATTTTATTATTATTATTATTATTTTTTTTATATAGATTTGGTGATGTATTTTCTTGTTATAAATTGAATTTTGTTAAATTATAAAGCAACAAGACCATATTTTTATCTTTATAAGTTTTTGTAATGATTTCTTCATGTCTTGACCTATTTAAGTAAATTTAGTATATAATTTTAATGATTGTATATGCAAGCAGAATTTGTGTGGGTATTAGTAAATATATATACATATATATTAGAAAAATTGCAAGTACTTATACATTTTAACCACCACCCCCAAAAAAAAGAAGAAAAAAAAGTGTGATAAGGTATAAAAGGCCCCATTTCAAAAGTTCGCTTAAGACCCCGAACAGCTGAGCGCCAGCCCTGAAATAGGGTATGGGGTTACATAAAGGTTTTGAGTTGATATGGAAAGGGAGAGGGCTAACTACAGTGCCCATGTCCAAACTAGTTGTTGAGCCGTATTCATTGATGCAATGGTAAAATGTATGGGAATCAAGCCTGAAATATATGTCTAAGATTAGCCACTTTGCATGAATAAGCCAGAGGTAAGGTCTGTCACGATTCAATTCTCCAGCCTCAGATTGGCAGGCTTGGTTAATGGTCTTTTATGGCCTAAAGCAGCTGTCCTAGATGAACCCCAACTGCAATGAGTGTCTCACAAAAGGCATTTAAGTACTGTTTTGTTTTCCATCCCTTTTCTTCTTTGTGTTTTTCTTCTCCTTGCAGTTACCATAATTGGATTGAGGTGATGATGATTTTCTTGGTTATAATTGGCTTGGATAAAAACATTCTAGGTTGAAGATCTTACTAGAAAATCCCAACTTCTTGAAGCTGAAATAGAGAGATCAGCAAGAGAATTGAAGGAAGCAACTGAATCAGCAGCAAACGAAGCTGAAAAGTGCAAAGCTGCAAAGGAAGTCATTAAGTCTCTAACTGCACAGGTAGATGTTTCAATGCTCAAGAAATTCTGTATTCATGTTGTTTTATTGAGAACATCTATTGTAGAAATTTAATGTATAAAGAGAAATGATTGTATTATTGATTGATATTTGTAATTGATTTCTATTACAATGATTCATGATTCCTATATATAGAAGAGGGTGAGTGTGTAGTAGGTAAGGAGTAGGTGAAGTGGAGGTGGTAGTGGTGTAGTGGGTTAGGTATGCATGTTACTGTCTTACACTTCTGCAGGCTTGGTATTCTTTGTGGGGCATTTGCAACACGTGACATTGAAAATTGTATTCGAAAATGATGACATCTCCAACATGAAACGTCTTGGAAGCAGCCCAGGCCTTGTAATCAATATTCCCAATGATGGTTCAACCAGCGGAGTCCCCAACCTTGTACACTGCTGCCATTGAAACCTTCAAGCCAGCAAACATGGCTACCAACAACAGAGCCACAGCTCTACACCCCACACCCAAATCCATGGCTAAGAGAGAGAGAGCAAATCGGGAAAAAAAAAAACAGCAGTGATGAGCAGAAAAGCAGCGCCAGAAACGCCAACGACGATGACGAGTAAGAGTACAACCACGGATATATGAGAGGCGAGGTGAACGGCGATAGAGGCTAGACGATGATGCGGGTGCCGCCGCCGACATAGCGGAGGAGGGGTGTAAGAAAATGTTGGAGCTTGTGCTTTATGCTAAGGAGAGATGAGAAGGTGAATGTTGAAGAAGTCAAGGTATGTGTAGAAAATAAGCGGAATAGGTTGAGGTCCGGCGGGCGGCCAAGGCGAGGTTGCCGCCCGCCGGTGAAGCGAGAAATACCAAGGTCTTAACCTTGCTCTGATACCATGTAGAAATTTAATGTATAAAGAGAAATGATTGTATTATTGATTGATATTTGTAATTGATTTCTATTACAATGATTCATGATTCCTATATATAGAAGAGGGTGAGTGTGTAGTAGGTAAGGAGTAGGTGAAGTGGAGGTGGTAGTGGTGTAGTGGGTTAGGTTTAGTGGAGTAGGTGAGGTGGTAGTGGTGTAGTGGGTTAGGTTTAGTGGAGTAGGTTTAAGTGGGTGAAGTAGGTGGAGAGTAGGTGGATTTTAACATCTATGTTCAATAAAATCTATTTTGTCCATTCAAAATAGATTTTCGTATTCTTTTCCAAATTTAATATTGTTATAAGTGTGGTGTAACCTAGCTCCCACTTGGAATTATTGTCCACTATGGTCCAACCCAAGAGCTAGCCGCGTGGGTTTGTCCCTTTGTGCTCCAACCCAAAAGGCGCTTCCGCAATGGAGGTGTCCTGCACTATCTTACGAGTCTGTCCTGGACATTGTCTTGCAACCAATGTGGGGTGCCAACATCTCCGCCTCGTCACATGCACGACCCTAGCTCTAATACCATGTTAGATGTGTGGCCTAGCTCCACCTGGAAGTGTTGTCTGCTCGGCCCAGCTCAATAGCTGTCCTCACGGGTTTGTCCCTCTGGATTCCAACTCAAAAGGTGCCTCCACAATGGAGGCGTTCCTGTGCCACATTATAAGTTCATTCTGGACCTAGTCCGCAGCTGATGTGGGATGCCAACATATATCAATTATAATACTCTATACTCTATATTCTGTATTTGCATGTGTGTAGTGTAAGAAAGGTCATTCTTTCGCAAGTCATTAGCTTCTGGCACTGCACTTTACTAATTTCAAACTCCACTGATGTATGCCCTGCCAAGCTTGTACATGCCAAATATCACATTATTGGGTAACTATAGCGATCAATGCCCCAAACCCAATTTTCATTTTTTAAAAAATGATCAAATTGAACTAGTCTTCTATTTTTTTATCAATTTAACATTCAGCATTCATTTAGCACATAGGAGGCACACTTGCATTTGCAAGTCTTGCAAATTTATTATGAACACATTGCCATATTTTTCTGTGGGCACTTTCTGAACTTCATCATATTTCTTGCCATATTGACTATATCTTTATCATATCATTATAGGACTTTCTGCTTGACCATATTGGCAGGTTGTGTTTTAAGGGTTCTTGCCTGCATAAATTACAAACCAACAAGTGGAATGAAAGTAACAACTGAATAATGATATTATAATATATGATTACTTAGAGACAATCTGTTTATACCTTCACAGGAACAGTAATTTACTATGTTGGAGCAAGAATTCCTTGAAATCCCACCCTTGATTTCCACATGCTAGATGATGGCCAAGTCACATTTCACGTTGTCTTTAACTTTATATGCTGCTGGTTCAGATTTTGTATATGCTTTGTTATGTTATAGTGGCCAAGTGTTTTTTAAATTCATGATTTACATGACATGGGCTGTAATGGTGCCTTGTGCATTATAAGTTCAACTTATCCATGGTAAGCAGTGTCATGATAGAAAATTCTAAGATGAATGGTATTACATATATCCTGTTGATAAAAGCCTAATGTGACAGCAAACGAGAAAATCTTGCAGATTATGCATTGACAAGTTAAAGAGAAAAAAAAAACAAGGATTACGTGGAATGTATATCCATTGCTCAAATTCTCCAATTTTTTCTTAACTAATTTGTTTAGGTATCTTTATTGTGGAGTTGGGTGCTGTGTTGGTTCCTATTTTGTTGTTTGTTCTAATACTATGGATTGTCCATTTTTCTGACAGTTGAAGGAGATGGCTGAAAGGGTGCCCGAAGGGCATATTGCCGGCAAAAAGTTAAATCCTATTGTTAGACGTGCTTTGGGTGATCCAATCCCAACCTCTAAGGAGGGCAACATGATGAGCATAATCTCTCCTAGAAGTGAGTCCAATATCAATTCATCTAATCCGTTCTTATTTAATGGAACAAAGACACTCAATGAGAAGTCAGAGTGGGTGGTGCAAGATGAACCGGGCGTGTATATAACTCTTTCCTCCTTGCCAGGGGGTCGCAATGAACTTAAACGAGTTCGCTTCAGGTATTGATATTTTACCTTTTTAAGAGTTGGAAAAATAATATTATGGGATTCTTTAGCATGTTTGTAATGCAGGTTAGAAATTAACTATGGTTATTGATCATTTCTATCTTTCTACAGTCGGAAATGTTTCAATGAGGAGCAAGCGGAGAAGTGGTGGGCTGAAAACGAGGTTAGAGTATGCAAGCGGCACAATATACGCACAGCCTAAAAATATGCAGCTAGCACTTCATCGTTTCCGCTCAATGAGAGGGAAGCCTGACTTATTTTGTATGATCCTCCGTCTCTCCACTGAAAATTGTAAATTCTTTTTTTTTTCTACCCATTTTTTTTGCTCATTCGGTGGAGTTCATGACGAGGACTTCGATCTTTAATTCCTAGAAATTAACAATGTTGATTCCTCTTTTTTACATAGGTTCTAATGTCTTGATAGCCCAACCAATCCCGTTGGCGAAAGTCCAATTGGAAGTAGACTGAGATGTAAGAAAAGTAAGAATATAGGAAACGATGTAAGAACTAATGAAGAAATGGAAATCCATTTTGAGGAATGTGTTATATTAGCTCATTTTGTTCAATATTTGGAATTGAATCCAGACACAAAATGATTTGTCTCCATTCACAAGCCGGTTGGTTTATTGCAGTTTCTGTGTCTGATAATTTTGAGGATTTCAAAAAAATTTAATGTTATTGATTTTAATGTTACATGGCAGAGAAGATATGTCAGATGAAAAATACAAGACCATAAATCAAGTGCCTTCTTCTTTTTTCTCTTTTTTAGTTTTTTATTTTATTTTTGTGGTGGTAGGCAACAAGGACTTTAAAAAACATTTTCTGTCCAATTAAACTTGTTTTCCGTTGACTACAAAAAAAAGTTTCTTGTCATACTAAAAGCCAAAAAATGAAGAGAAAAAAATCTCTGAAACAAATGGTAAGCAAGTTCAAAGAATGATCTTACCAACCAAGTATTCAAAACGTTGTTTTGAAGGTCCTGGAAGTCAATAAAAGGACTCAAATAATTTCCCAAAGATCCAGCCACCTTCCATCATCCCAGCTCTGTTATCTACCCTGACTCTCCACTTCAATTGTGCTACATCCAGCTTCTTTAATTCCAATCACCCTACATTCATCCTCTCTCATTCTCTCTCCTCCCTTCGTCTCCCACACGCTCATATTATTTGGCAGCCACCCTGCAATTGCATAAGTACTAGAAAGAATGATCGAATCAGCAGGGTGTTCATCATAAATTTCCTCCAACACTCTCTTCACACTTTTCCCCAGACAAACATTCCCATGAACCCTACACGCTGCAAGTAACGCACGCCAGGCAATTGCATCACCTTCACTAGGCAATCCCTTGATCAGTTTATATGCTTCCTCTAGCAACCCTGCACGGCCCAATAGATCAATCACACATCCATAGTGTTCGGCCTTAGGTGTCAAGCCATAGTCTCGAACCATGCTCTCAAAAATGCTTGTCCCCTCAGTCACCAGCCCTCCGTGGCTACAAGCGCTTAAAACTGCCAAGAAAGTGACTTCGTTAGGTATAAAACCCTCGTCCTCCATCCGATGAAAGAATGCAACAGCATTTTTTGCCTGCCCATGAATTCCAAAACCGGAAATCATGGCTGTCCAAGATTTTATGTCTTTACTCTCCATCCTATTGAAAACATCAATGCCCTTGTTCAACAACCCGCACTTGGAGTACATATCTACCAAAGCCGTGCCAAGAATCTCATCCAACACTAAACGGTCCTCCTCCACGTAGTCATGTACGCATTGACCTAAAGCTAGAGCTCCTGAGGCAGCACAAGCCGAAAACAATCCTGCCAGTGTAGATGAATTTGGTTTCAGTTGTTCACATTTCATTAACTGTAGTAAAGCAAGTGATTCTTCTAGTAAGCCATTTTTAGCATACCCATCTATTAAACAGTTCCATAAGACAATATCATGTACAGAAACTTCATTGAAAAGCCTTCGTCCTGAATCGATTAAACCAATTTTTCCATACATTGAAATCAAAGCAGTAACCACATTCACATCTAGCAAAAACCCAGTCTTGATGGAGTACCCGTGAAGTGATTCTCCTCCCAAAACAAACCCTAGATTACCAAAAGCAGTCAAAGCACTTAAGACGGTGCTGACACCAGTTCTCAAACCAGCCCTACGCAACTGCCGGAACAAATCTACAACCACAATAGTCTGATTTGCATGAAGATATCCACCCATCAAAGTATTCCAAGAAACCAAATCACTTTCTTGAGAAAATTCATCAAACAGTTGGTGGGCATCTCCAATCTCCCCACAAACACAGTAAAATTGCAAAAGGGCATTGTTTAGATTAACAAAACAAAACCCAGATTGAAAAACAACAGCATGAATACCCAAACCAATCCAAATAGCACACAACCTAGCACAAGATTTAAGGGTTGATATAAATGAGAACTGGTCTAGCAAAACATTTTGAGACCTCATGTAATTGAAGAGGAACAAAGCTTGTTTTGAGTCATCACTAATTGAATAGCCTCTAAGCATTGTATTGAACATGAAAAGATTTGGGTTTTGAATATGCTTAAAGATTGAAGCTGAATAATCTATGTTTACCATTATTGAAGATGCAAGAAACTTGCTCAGTGTGAAAGGTATAACGTCAAGACCAGACTTGATCAGTGAGCCATGGATTTGAGAGAGTTGAGAGGTTTTTTTGCAAGATTTCAATAGGGCTATGAGCTTTTGATCTTCTGAAAGAACAGAGTTGTGGTAGTGTTTTGGGTGAAGGAATGTGAGACAAAATTTGGGATTGAATCTTAGGAACGAATTGATTGTTATGATCATCACTAGTCAGCTCCAAAGAGGTGATTTTTACATACATACTGAGTGTCTGCTCTTCTTCTCTCTCTCACTGAGGATTGCTTCAGTTCGATTTCAGAAATTTTTTTAAGAGCTTTGGGGGATGCATCTCCACTGCTTGGTTGCACAGAAAACAGAGAGGGAAATGACAGGAAAGGAAAGAAAATCGTGGATGTCAGTTTTAATTTATGGGAATTACACGTAAGTGTGATTAGAAAATATATTTACAAAAAAATAATAAACGTTATAAATATTAATAATTAAAATATAAGATAATGAATTTTATGAATATATTTATAATGATGTGGTAATAAAATTTAATTTTATATGATTAAATATGTAATAAATTAAAAAAATATATATTCCAATTTTCTTTTAATTCCATTGTAACAATAAAAATAAAAATAAATGGAAAAGCATTTAGGAAGCCTCCCAATGTGGCCTTTTTGTGCGAATTTGTAAAAGCTCCTCTTCTGATCTTTGAACACAATGTTGTGGGATTTTCATGTGCCAACCTTCTAATACAATCCCCACAAGATCTAGCAATAACATCATCTCCCAAAATTATTACCAAAGTTTGGCTAACAATGAGCAAATTCTACATTTCCTATAAATAAATAAATAAATAAAATAAGAAGTCTAAGAGTATAGAAACTAATCAAAACACTAAACACAATATTCACATGACATGGGTCTGACACACATGTAAAAGAAGATTGTGTCTAGTTCTGTGAGTAGTTTATGTGCAAGTAAAAAACTGTTCCTCTAATTGTAGTGAGGTTTTCACACCCAATACATTTTGCTACTTTCTCATGTTTGCAAAGTGGATTGAGATTCCACTATCTGTGTTTCCATCTCTTGATAAGAAAGAAGACAGTAGTGAATGTGCAAGAAACAGACCATTTGCAAAGCATGAGGAAATAAGAAGAATACAGTGTAGATTGGGATGTGTGCATATCATTTAGATATCAAAAACAAGACATAACAAAACAAAACAAACAAAAAAACACCAAAGAAATGAAAGAAATACAAAGTTACATTGGTGGAAGACCCGTATGAGAAAGAACATGATCATAGATTCAGCAGAAATTGAAGGGTTATTATCCGATTCTACAATCACAAATTGCGCAACCAAGAGACCAAAAATTGTCACACATGACGATACATAATACTCAACATTCCCACTGCAATCATCTTTGAATACATAAACTATCTCCCCTTATAGGAGGTGATGCGGCTTGTAATATGCGACTTCTCTTCCTTGAATGGTTGAGTTGATGCATCGGATAGACTGGGTAACCTTGAAACGCTACCCTTCCCTTTCTTGGCATTTGGTCCTATCTCCTCTATCATGTGTTTCCAACCATCAATAGGTCTCCTCCGGCTAAAAATATGAGTCTTGATAAAACTAGCTATCTGCATTGCAGTTAACAGAAAATAAGAAAGAGTAGGAAGATAGAGGAAAAGAGAGACTATCATATCATCATAGAGTAATATCATGAATACGTTGAAACTCCATGATCAGTCCTCAACAACCCTGCATTTTGACATATCTATCACAGAGTCAATTCCTAGATGCACCAATTGCAGTCCTTAAGAGTGAACTACAATTAATTGAAACAATTGGGAAAGTTTATAGGACTGCAAAAAGATAGCAAAATCCAATGGTAACACTCCTTGCAAATGAGGATCAAGGTTTAAAAAAAATTCCTCTACCAAATGGTGTGTTTTCTCAGCATATTTATCTCACTTATCAACTGGAGGGAAAAAAGAATAGAGTTTTCATCAGCATTATTAAAAATTTTATTGGGTATTATGACTTTTTCCTTGAATATATACATTTAACCAATCACTGCTCAAACCACAGTAGCTCATGCCTGGTCCCAACTGGAAACTAATGATCAGACCAGATCGAAAAGGTTCTAGGATTATCAAGTATCATTTTACCTACTATAGAATGATATTGATAAATGGCGGTTCGTAATTCAGGGCCTTCAACTAAAGGTTGCATCCTTCTTCAGCAGCTTGCCTATCTCTGAATCATAAGTATTTAACAAATAAAAAAGTATGTTCTCCTGTGTATGTGTCCATATGGCGAAGAGATAATAATGACAGCGTGACAAACCTGGAATTTGCTGAATGCAATTCGACGTTCAAATTCTTGGAGAAGGATGTCTTCTTCCCTTTGTGACATCTCCCAGACACTCCCATCTTGAGCTTTTGCTGTTGTTTCCCAACCATCAGGCTTGTTTTTTAACTCAGACGAACTTGGGATTTTTGAGTTGTTCAAGTCGTCATTGGGAGAGTCGAAAATCCTACATTTATTGAAGATATTGAACAAAGAGAGCTTACTTAGCAAGACGCCCCATACATGTTACTCCAGACACACTATGCACACATTCTATTTTCAACAAGCTAGATGTGTCGGGATATTAAATTAAAAGTAAGCTTTAATATTCAAGTGAGTTATTATGGCTGGCCATTGATGACAGAATATTAATTTAAGTAGTTTTGAATTCTTTGCAAAGGGCTTAGAAGAGAGGAGTGACGTAGAACACTAACACCACTTTCCGCTAGCATGGATTTTCATGTCCTAATGAACAGAAAAACAGTTAAAATAATACAATCCTCATCTACATTTATGCATATGGATATCTAGTTAGCTCATACGGCTTTTCTGGTACTCTACGGAAAATGCTTGAAATGGCCTTCGTTTTCCCTTTCAGTATGCGTGAGTTGCAGGGCTTCAAGCTGCTTTGACATATCAGGTGCTTCTTTAAAGGGATTTTAAGAGCTTAAAAATATTTAAAATGCATAATAAGGGAAATGAAACTCTTCTTGACATACATAACGGCCAACAAATAATGCAGCATATTCTGATATCTTACAAGGGAGATGATCATATGAACTTGCATGAAATTTACTCACTCCATCTTGTTTGAGACAACATACGTGGTATCTCTGTACTTTCAATAGTATTTAGATTTTTTAAATAAATATCCTCATTTCCCCAGAGCACATTGTTTCATGACTTAATGATCAGTGATCTCATTCATATTCTTCCTCGGTTATTTGGAGGAAACTTGACTACTTGTTAATGGTCAATTCACCCAAATCAATCACTAAGTTTGCTACCTCAAATAGGACTAAGACCATCCACAACTATAATCCTACCAAGGGTTACAATTTCTCACAAGAGAAACCCCCATTCTGCACAACTACCTACTGGTAGGGCTATAAATGAGCCGAGTTGAATTAAGTAATAGGTTATTCAAGTTTATCTTGAAAACTTAACAAGCTTCAAGTGTTTAAGTTTAATTTGTTTACTAAACGAGTCAGCGAAATAGTAAATTGTTCAAGTTTATTTACCTAACGAAGCGATTTCAAATGAAGAAAATGAACACAGGTGGAGCTGAGTAGCCCTAACAGTCATCAATGTAGTAGACTGACTAACAAGAATCACATATTTGAACAATACCTAATTCAAAAAGAACAAACTATAACTTACCCATTAAAATTCAACATCAAATTACATATACATAATACAATCCACCAACAATACATTTATATATATGAATAAATGTAAATGAGAGAGGAAGAAGAAGGCATACTCAGAGCAGCTATCGAGCAATCTCTCGATATCATCTCCACCACCACCACCGCCAATGGAATCAACCAACTTAGCCTCCTCTTGCTTCTCAATCTCTTTGACCCACAAGCCAGCATGAACCCTCTGCTTCTTCAACCTATAATCCCTCTTCACATTCTCCAATCCATAAAGCGAATTCCCTTCTTTCTGATTTTTCCCTAGCTGTCTCTGTTGCTGTTGCTGTTGCTGTTGTTGTTGGATCTTCGAGCTCTTCCTTCTCTGGTCCCAATTCTCGGTCATGTCCTCGACGAAGGCCTTCGTCTCGGCGTCGACGTCGGAGGACAGGAGTGGAGGAGTGGCGGCGGAAGGGTTGTCGGAGAAGTTGACGTCGGTCTCCCATGGGGGACGGTTGTTGCCGGAGAGGTCTTCGGGGAGCCAGGCGGACTCCCAAGCGTCGTTCCACTCGTCGCCGCCGCTCTTGCCGGTGGTGGACAGTGGACGGCGGAGGTGGTGGTGGTGGTGGTGGAGGAGGAGGGTGGTGGTGGTGGTGGTGGGATTGAAAAGGGGGTTTCGGATTATAGAGGAAATTCTGCGAACTGGATTCATCATTTTGGGAAAAGTTTTGCAGACTGCTGTCTTCTCTTGTCCGCAGTATCGGGCCTACGTAATATTTCAGTTCCTCAATTTTATTTATTCATTTATTTTTAAGGTTCATTAGATTATTAGTAAATTTAAGGAATTTGTGAGTTCAAAAAAATTTTAAGGAATTTGTTTTTAAAGTCTTGATATTAATATTTTATAAGGTAAATAATATATAATATTTTTATAGTATTTAGATTTTTTTTAATATTTTCACGGGAAAATTTCTTTTGATATAAAAAATTTCAATTTTCACAAACAAATTGATATAATCATAGATAAATTTATAGAAAATTAGTCTAAGGTCTCTCTCTCATTTTTAGTAATGGAAGAGATTCATAATATTATTTTATAATGTTTAAGGTCCCTCAATTTTACACACATATATCACAGAGAAATTTGACTCTCTCAAATCAAATCTCATTTCTCTATCTGTGTCTTACTTATTTCGTTTCTCTTTCTCTCTCTAAATCCAAACCTCACTTGATCAAATCCCCAAATCTCTCTTCCAAAAACGAATCGGAATCCAAATCCAAATTCAAAGTTGAAAATGCCATCGAGTTCATCAACATCACGTAATTCTCTCTCTGAATCTGCAAATTCATCAACTTAAATCCGGCGACGCAATCTGATTGTAGTGCCCTAGATTGTTCAACTCCGGTTGGTTTCGTCGAAGAAGAAGCAACTTTTCTGGCAAGTAATCAACGAAGTAACTTTTCGCTACACTCTTGGTGGAATTGAATCTTTTTTCTATTGATGGGTCGTTGAACACACCAAAAATAAATCACTAAACTATACCAAATTCTTTTAGAATAATGGCAAGTACATGTATCGATCCACAGGGACAATTGTGAAATTAAACTAATTTAATTGATAAATTCCTAAATTAATTTTGATGAAAATAATGATTGATCATAACATAATTTAATAACGAATAAATTAAACCAAATAATTAAATTATCAATTATAACTGAAAGTGGATTTACTGAATTGGGGAAAAACCTAAGGCATTAAGTCCACCACTAGTCACGTAATTAGGGTTTCCAATTGAAATCAATTATGTTATGGTTCGAACAGAATAATGCTTTGCAACTACAAGTTCAAAGCATTTAACAAGAAAATCATCACGTTCAATGTACGAGCACGAACCATCTCAAATAGTACGAATCGTTCACTCTAAACTAGGGTAGTGAACCGACTCGTCCCTCGTAGTATGATTCGTTTCATACCTTGAATGTGAAAGAATAGAAAACTCTTGTATGGAAAACATTCAACAATTACAGAAAGTTGAATATTTGAAGAAATAATGGAAAGTGTATATATAAAACTTCTAAAATACCATACAATTGTTCAAACCTTTATATAATTGAAAATCAAAAAGAAAAATTAATTACATGGCTAGGGTTTCATCAAAACCCTAAAAAAGGAGACTAGCTACTCATGGAGGAGTGGAAGGAGGTAGATGGAGAAGAAACCACCATGGGAGACATGTTTGAAGCTTCAAGTTCCTTTTCCTTTCAAACCCTAGCCTTCCTTTCTTGACAAAACAACTTCTGAACCCTAATCCAACCTTTTTCTTGCATATTTATACCTCTAGTGTCTTTCCAAACAAGTTTAAAACATCTGGCACGTTTTCCCATAAAAAGTCAACGCACGTGCGGGAAAGTCGACTCTCTCCAAGTTATGCCTTTTTGCCCATTTTATGCTCCGACTATGTACAACCTGATTGGTATTCAACACATATAAAGTATAAATTTTGACAAGTAAGTGAATTTAAGAGATCCTAATTAACGGCCTCAATGATGTACAATTCGGCCTTAATCACATCCCCCAACTTACAACTTGCTAGTCCTCAAGCAAGTAATAAAAATAAAATTAAATTAAACAAAATCTAGTTATTCCCTCTTTCGTGGGAAAACGGTTGCATTTAGTCCTCAAGCAAGTAATAAAAATAAAATAAAATTAAACAAAATCTAGTTACTCCCTCTTTCGTGGGAAAACGGTTGCATTTAGCATATGCAACAAGCCTTTAAAAAGTTACCCCAAGTGGACAAGTAAAGTCTCGTGAAGGTTTCCAAAAATGATACCCACAAACATTTTCATATTCATATACGCCCAACAACTAACCACACTACTCCACCTAACAATCAACTTACGTGCCACTACAGTGTGATATTAAAACATAATGAGTCATTAAAGGCACAGTGGACAAGCATGAAGGAACCTATTTAGTCAAAACCACAATTCAGTTGATACAAAAGTAAAGTCCCCTGTACTTGTGCATGCTAGTAGACAAATCATCAGTACCTTTGGTATAAAGTGCAATTTCCATATTAGTTATCTGTCGACTATAATAGCCCAGTGCAACTCATAATAACACCCAATATATACAGAAAAACTAACCTGTTGCAGCCAAGATTCTCAAATTATTTATTTTTTATTTTTTATTTTAATGACTGTGCAATGTCCTGATCCATTAAGCTTTCTAATCAACCCATGTAGCAAGTATTGGGCCAATGACTCCCAAACAAGATGGTTTTAGGGCACTAGGTGTAGAGACACTCCTACGGGCTTAATAACTCGAGTTGAGAATATTACGAATCCGAACAAGTCATTCTCCTTATTTTTTCCTTAACTGTGTAATGTCTAAGTTTCTTAAGCTTTCTAATTAACCCATGTAGCAAGTATTGGGTCAATGACTTCCAAACCAGACGGTTTTAGGGCACTAGGTGTAAAAACACCTCTATGGACTTAATAACTCGAGTTAAAAAGGCTACGAACCCAAACAAGTCAAGTCTTTTTTCTTTTTCTTTTTTTTTTTTTTTTTTTAGAGAATCTTGGCTCCTCATTTATTCTTTTCTGCAACCCTAGCTATTATCAATGATGTATACCAGGGATTATAATAAAGAGGTCACCGCTATGAGAGTGTGTTCATGTGAATTAAGGCATACTTTATGACAAGTGTACTAATACCACAAGCACAAACGACTCCTCTAGTGCAAACATCACATGCAAGTATCTACCCAATAAATCCTTTTCATACAAGTCTACTATGCTCTCCAATTAACATATACAAATATCATCACCCTACTAGCAACAAGTCACATCAAGTGAAGTAATGCAATCAAGTGAAACAGGTATGAGCATGAATGATTGAGCCAAATAGAAATGCACAAAAGAAAATACAACCCTCATCTCCCAACTTGAATATGACATTGTCCTCAATGGAAAAGTAAAGAGAAATGAGAGAAGATTACCAGAGATTGTAGGTGCACATCCAGGTAAGTATATAGTACACACGCACACCGTCGGATCACTTGCATGTTATCAAATGAAACTTCCATCACCCCGGTACGACGATTAATGCACGCATTGGCCGTAGCCAAGAAAGGTCAACCTAAGGTCACTGGAATTTGTTTCCTAGAACTGGCTACCGGTTCCATATCTAACACCAAAAAGTCAATAGGGAAGTAAAACCTATCAACCTTTACTAGCACATCCTCAATCATGCCTCGTGGCACTTTGAGGGACCGATTAGCCAACTGAAGAATAACAGTAGTGGGCTTCAACTTGCCAAGCCCAAATTCCTCGTACACAGAGTACGCCAACAAATTGAAACTAGCCCCTAAATCTAATAAGGCCCTATCAATGAAATGGTCCCCTATAATGTATGTAATGGTTGGAGCACCCGGGTCCTTAAGCTTAGGAGGTGTGTCATTCAATAGGATGAAGCTTACTTGCTCCGTGAATAAGACCTTTTGGGACACATCTGTCCTAGATTTACGCTTTTGCGTACAAAGGTCCTTTAGAAATTTGGTATAGGAAGGCACTTGCTTAATCGCCTCCAACAGGGGGAGGTTGATTTTTACCTGTTTAAAGACCTCCATCATTGCTTCCATAGATGTCGCTTTCTTATTAAAAAGGGACGGTGTATCAAGGCATTGGGGAAAGGGTGCCTTAGGTACATATGGTGCCTTGGGCTCATGTGAAGTGTTAGGAACTAAGTCATCCATCTTAAGTGTTTCCCCCTCACCCTTGCTCTCATTGGGTGTACTACCGCGGTCACCCTTCTTAGCTCTAGTTGCATCAGACACAACTGACTGAGGCTCTAACTCTCTCCCACTTCTCAAAGTAATCACCGCTTACACCTGCTCTTGGTGCTTTCCGTTCCCACCCGAACTCTCTGCCCCGTATTGTCCCTTAGGGTTGGCCACAGTTTGACTTGGTAATTTTCCCTCCTCTCTCTAATTCATGTTGTTAGCCATTTGACCCAATTGGGCCTCTAGCTTGGCAATAGAGTGAGTATGGGAGTGAACTACCGGTGCTAACCCCTCACATGAGTCTCAAAGGCAGAGTTGCCCTGAGGAACAGGCGGGGGTTGTGGTTGCCGGTACGGTTGTGGGGGCTTATAAGGTTACGGTGGCCGGTAAGATGATTGGTTGGCAAAATTATAAAAATTCTGCCTTGGTGGTGGAGGATTGTAAGAAGTGCCTTGTGAATGGGGTCTCCATGAAAAATTTGGGTGATTTCTCTATCCCGGATTGTATGTGTTGGAGTATAGGTCATTACCCGGGTTGGAGAATCCTTGAGCCGCATTCACATGCTCTTGGACTAACTTCGGAAATTGTGATGCTGAAAGGCACTCACTCAAGTCATGAGCAGGGTTCGCACAAATAACACATGCCTCGCGAAATTGAGGCTGATCTTGTTGGGTAGGGGCATGTCCCGCAGCTAATAATTGGTCCATTTTGTGGGACAATGCCTCTACTTATTGGGCTAACTCTAGGTTTTGCCCAACCTCATAAATGCCCCCTCTTTTCGGGGCTCCAACTACTGGTTACCAGACTTGCCAGGCTGCGGAGGCATGGTGAAGGGAATTATCACTTAGGTTCTCAAACAATTACCATGCCTCAGCATCATTTTTGGACATGAATGTCCCACCACAGGATGAGTCCACCATTTGGCGGTGCGGTTTAGTTAAGCCATAATAAAATGTTTGAACAAGTTGCCAATTAGGCACTT